GTGGAGGGCAGTGTCACTGGCCCTCATATGTGGGATCCGAACCGGGGCCCTCTGGTGTCCCAAGCCAGCTCTTAACCAATGTGCCACTCAGCCGGCCCTTGAACCAGTTCAGTTTTAAGCTCAATTGTTTGATCACTAAATCCATAGCTATTCCCCTTGCAAATTATATAACCTTTATGTTTTGGACTCTATTGAAAGTGTTAAAAACATATTTGAGGTTTTCATATAGCTTTGCTTTATGTTGAAATTGAATTTCTAGAGTTATATTTAAAAGATAAGTATGCTTTTAATAGGGTTAAGTTGTACTGAGTTTTAGTAAAATCTACTTGTTACTGATTGCTTACCATGAGAAATTGCCTTCCAGCTTTTGTTATTTGATCACGTTGGGAAAATTCGTTGTATGACATGTTTCTTTCGTTTCATTCAGTGCTGTGCAGGGTAATAAGGTAACCTGCCATCTGACACACGGGTAGGTGGCATCTTCTGATTCCCTGCCCTGCGCCTTCCCACCCTCGGCTCACACAGAGCTTTCAGCTGACTCGAATGAACTAGAAGGGGGCTGGTCTGGCTAGCAGGGTTTTCTCTCGCGTGAGACACTTGGATCCCATCTGCAGAGCTCCAAGTCGTTTTTGAGGAAGGCTAGTGATTTCCCTGTTGGAGGAGAGTTTGCCATTTAAACCAACCTGCTGTTGGAGTGTGTTCTGTGGCTGCCAGTGCACAGAGCAGGGGGACCGCAGGAGAGGCTGGTGGCTCCGAGGGGCTGCTGTCCGGATGGCTGTGTCCTGGGCTTTCACTCAGGAGGTGGTCTTCATGAGCGACTCTCACTGGACCCCTTTCTTTTCTGGAAACAGTAGCTTTCTTCGTGGACAGGAAGCATGGAGTAGACTGGGTCTGGCTGTCGGTGGCCTCGTCACTCCCCGGAGCACCGCTTAGTTAAGGGAAGGTTCCAAAGGACAGAGGGACAGAGGGGCTGTGTGGTCCGGCACAGGGCAGGGTGGCCCACAGACTCCTGCGCCCAAAGGCCTAGGAAGTAAATAGCACAGAACACATTCTGGGTGTTTTAGCTGCCTCGTCACGCTGTGCTCTGTAAACACATCAGCCATACGAGTTTTTATGTCTGTCAGCTTCAATTCTTGCTTATTCCGTTTTACTTATTCAGTTTCAGCTTTTGGAGGTCTCAAAATATGACGTCATTTGCTTGCTTATTGAGGTTGGTGATGCTTAGTGAATAAATAAAAAAGAAACATGGTGTTATCCTGAGCCTTCCTGTGGTTTGATGTGCCCCCTTTAGTTGACTATTAACATGCAGGATAAACTACTGTTGTCTCGCTGAATATTAGTACCTCCAGGAACTATCGATAACGACTGCACCTCATTTTTGTTTCCTAGATCTTACAGTCCCTTTCAGCACCTACAAAAAGTTTAGAGCAGCAGGTGAATCACAGCCAACAGGGCCACGCGAACGCCAGCACAGTGCTGTTCAGCCAGGTGAAAGTGACTCCCGAGCCACACCTGTCACAGCAGCCACAGCCGCCTGTCCTGCATCTGCCGCCCCAGCAGCTCCTGCAGCTCCAGCAGCCCCAGCCGCAGCTATCCCAGCAGCCCTACCCCCAGCAGCAGTCTCACCCGTTCCCGCAGCAGCAGCAGCAAGTCCATCAGCACGCGTTCCCTCAGCAGCCGCTGCAGTTCCCGCAGCAGCCACTGCACCGCCCTCAGCAGCAGGCGCAGCCACTGCAGCAGCAGCAGCAGCAGCATGTCCTGCAGCAGCAATTGCACCAGCTGCAGCAGCAGCAGCTGGCACAGTTACAGCAGCAGCAGCACAACCTCCTGCAGCAGCAGCAGCAGCTACAGCGCCTGCACCAGCAGCAGCAGCAGCAGCAGCAGCAGATGCAGACGCAGGCTGCACAGCACCAGGCCCCGCCCCCGCAGCACCAGGCCCCGCCTCTGCAGCACCAGGCCCCGCCCCCACAGCACCACCAGCCGCCTCAGCAGCACCATCAGCAGCACCAGCTTTTTGGACACGACCCATCAGTGGAGAGTCAGTAACGTGGATTTTTTTTCTTTCTTCTAAAAGTATTATATAAATGCTTTGAAAGTGTTTGCGGTGAATCAGGATTTACATAAAAGTAATTCTTACAAAATGAGGCGCATGAACCTCACACCTAACAAAGAATATGGCTGTGATAGTGGAGTAGTGTACTTTCTTTGGTATTTGCGACCCCAGACAGATGAACACTGGTGTCCGTAGAACGTCAGGCGCCCTCAAGGACCAACGCAGAGTACTCAGCGCCCAGGCATAAACTGAGTTGGTTCCACTTTTTAATCACTTAATATAGACAAGTTAGTATATTTGTAGCGATATTCCAAATACTCAGACCACTGGTGGTCAAGAGTGATTAACTTCATAAATTTAAGTTGAACTCAGCAAAATCAACTTTTTTAGTTTTTGTGCACACATATTCATGGGGTTTAAATTTTCTTTTTCTTGTACAATTCTATTCTAGTTCCAGAAGAAGCCTTCTTACTGGGATGTGTGTTTGCTATTGCGGATTACCCAGAGCAGATGTCTGATAAACAGCTGCTGGCCACCTGGAAAAGGGTGAGGCTGTGCGTCCAAGAAACGAACCTCTAGATCTGGAGGTGTTCCTTTCTGAACGTTATTCCTCTGGCGGCCTTCCCTGAGATATATGTATTTGTGTTGTGGGCATTTTTATTAACATTCTCTGTGTCCTTGTGCAAATCACCCTTCTGAGCTTCAGTTGTCTTAGCTGTAAGGGGAAAATGTTAGCCTTTATTATTCTTAAGATTCTTTTCGGCTCTGGAATTGTAAGGCACACAGATTATTTGTGTATAACTGGGACTGTGGGAGTAAGATCAGGTTTTTGGTGACTTAGAATAGGGACCATCAACTTGTATGTGCCTTAATTATTTCTGTTTCTCCAAAGGTGAGTGGTAGAAAATCCTAGACTCTCCAGTTTGGAATGGACCTCAAAGTCCGCTAGTCCAGTTGTGGAACTATAGTCCATTTAGTTACTATTTTGCATGGTGGCCTTTAACCCCTCCATCGGGCGCAACTGATCTCACAGATGGTTTTGAATTTCTGTTGATTTTTATACTGAATGTATGTAATAAACATATTGTTTTTTACTTTGTGGCAAATTAAAATTTCATTCTGAATAAATAAGCATGCTTACACATTATTTTCATTCATTTTCAATTTAAGTAAATGTCATACATGCATCTAGTAGATGCATTGTGCCCAAACTTGTAAGTTTTGCATTGCGCCCGATGGAGGGTTAAAGACAAGAAAGGGTTAAAGAAAAGAAAAAGTAAATACTTTTTTGCAATGCCACAAATCAAAACTGAGTTGAAATGAAAAAAAAAAACCAAAAAACAGTTTTTAACTTTTGACAGATGCTTGGTGCCACGTAACCACAATCAGGATACAGGACAGCTCCCTCACCCCGAAAAACGGAATCTGTTTTTAACAATACATTTTTTTCCCTTGTAAAAGAATGGTTATTAACAGGTGCCATTTGGCAATGTCTGAAGACATTTCTAGTTGTCAAAACTGAGGGTCTACTATTGGTGTCCAGGGGACAGAGGTCAGAGTGCTGCCGGTACCCTGTGATACACCGGACAGCCCCCACGACACAGAATTATTAGCTTGTCCAGTGTTAAGAGTTCCTGGTGGGGAGATCCTGTTTAACAAGACAACATTCCGTTTTTCTTCTCTTTCCTCCTGGAAACTTAGATTACATGAATATTGCTGGGGCTCACTTCCCTTTTACAGTGCCGGGTGGAAAAGTCTGTAAATATAATCCGTATCTTTTATACTTTGGGGGAAATACACTATATAAATGTGTGACGAGCCTTTTAATTGCTGTCGTATTTGACATTATAATTCTCCTGAGGGTCCCCTGTTGATATCACTCTGGCTTGTGTGTGTCTAGATAATCCAGGCCCATGGTGGCGCAGTGGACCCCACGCTCTCGAGCCGGTGCACACACCTGCTGTGTGAGAGCCAAGTCAGCGGAATGTGCGCACAGGTGAGTCCGCGGCCTCGGCCGGGCCCGGAGCAAAGCGGTCCCCATTTTCAGACCGCCGGAGGACCCTGTGATTGTTGGGTTTGGGAAGGACTTTTCCACCTCTCCAAGTAGGAAAGCGGCTGCTTCCACTTCTCACCAACCTTTGGTGGACAGCAGGCTTTGATGTCTGCGTAAGGAGAGAGGGAAGTCACAGGTGATGTCGAGGACGGGGCGAGTACCCCGTTCTGAAACTCAGCGCAGCACCGAGATGGGGGATGCTGGCAGACCTCCTGCTCTTGTGGGACTTGTGCAGGCCTGGGAAGGCAGACACCGCTCAGAGCTTCTGTAAGCCTCTGGGGTGCCAGCTCTCTCCTCTGTGTTACGTCCTCTCACCTCCCAAAGTTTCATCCCTTTTCTTAAAAATGTTCTCATTGTAGACCCACAATAATATGCCAGTGCTGAGTGACCTCCAGGAAACCCCTTTTTAAGAGCATGGCCATTTCCTCGCCCCACCGTTCGACTAGAGATGTAGAAATGGTTAGTTTTAGGTGGGCAGTTCTAGTGTTCATAACTTGTATATGGGGCTCCCTGTGTTTTTACAGGGGAATTGTCACTTTGATGATCATAAATGGTATTCTAGGACTGAAGTGATTTTTAAGGTTGTTATAAAATTTGTTGCTTTTGTTCCCCGTTGCAGGCCCACTCTTACTCGTGTGTAGATAGTAGCACTTTGAGGTGGTGTTAAGATGAACCTGCCACACTGTTAGAGTTTGTTGCTTTAGTAAACTGAGCATTAAACGCCATGAAGTGCTCTCATTTATAGTGTGGCAATGTAGGTGTACAACCTTGCCGCTTCGTACGTGACCCTGCAGTTAAGAAGCCCCCCAGACAGCCCACACTTTGTTTGGCAGGCGATAAGGGAGAGGAAGAGGTGTGTCACCGCGCACTGGCTCAGCTCGATCCTGAAGACGAAGAAGGTGGTGCCCCCGCACCGGGCCCTGCACTTCCCCGTGGCCTTCCCGCCAGGCGGAAAGCCATGTTCTCAGCACGTAAGGCGGCGTTCGTCGGCCGGCTCTGGTCCTTCTCGCGTCCCGAGTCCTGGCTCCGACTCAGTGTGTCCTGCACATAGGAGACTTTTAACTGATTTTTCCAAATCCGTGACACTGTTTAAAGCTGTAAAATAAATGGGTGTCCTGCACCAGAAGTGGCTGCTGATGGGCGGAACTTTGTCACTAGTTGGACGTTCTCCTGTCCAACTTATCGCAAAACGGGGGTCAGCTGGGAGAAGGAAGAACTGACTAACGGTTCTGTGCTTGATAAAGTCACTTTTTAAATTATCTGGAGAATGTCATAGTAACACATGCGGGTTTCCCCATGTTTGGTATCTCGGATGGAACGCCTTAACCATGACCAGAGTCCTGCTTTGCATGGTCTTAGGGATGTGCCACCAGCTAGCTCCCGCAGTGCCAAAGCGGGGTTGAGAGCGTGTGTGTCTGCAGGAAGCAGATGGAGCGCAGAGGAGCCTGGGCGCCAGCTGCACGCCACCTTAGCCACTCCTTTTTCCTCAGATTATTTCCGTGACTGGATTTGTCGACAGTGACCGAGATGACCTGAAGTTGATGGCGTGCCTGGCAGGTGCCAAATACACTGGCTACCTGTGCCGAAGTAACACGGTTCTCATCTGTAAAGAGTGAGTCAGCGCAGTGGCCGTCGGCACGGCCCTGGATTCGTCACTGGGTCGCAGCGTTGTGGTGGGCCTTTGAGCGTGCAGACCAGTCTGTTAGAAGAATGCAGTGACCGTCGTTATAATGTTGGCAGAAATACGTATTCAGCATTTGAAATGAAGTCAAGTGAATCAATGAAATTTGAACTAAGGTCACAGGAATTAGAAGTAGGGCTAGCAGAGGATGTCACGTGATCCCGTGTGAGCCTCCAGGGGCTGCTCTCACATTCGCTAAGATGTCCCTGCTGTGTCTGAGATGAGAACGTGATTTTTACTGGCTTTTGTTGAAAGTAAGGATAAATTTGAATAGTAGACAACTGTGACATTTAATAACTGTGTTTTCTGCCCAACCAAGACCGACCGGTTTGAAGTACGAGAAGGCCCGAGAGTGGAGGATCCCGTGCGTGAACGCCCAGTGGCTGGGCGACATTCTCCTCGGGGACTTCGAGGCCCTGCGGGAGATGCAGTGCCGTCGCTACTCGGTGTTCGGGCTGCCCGACCCGTTTGCGCCCGCGCAGCACCTGGTCCTGAACCTCCTCGGTGAGTGGGTCTCCCGCCCGGGTGCCCATCCCTGCGTCACCGCCGGCCTGGCCCAGCTGTCCGACCTGGGCCCTGTCGCCCCTGCTCCCTTTTCCCCACCCGTCCTCTGTCTCCCCTCTGCCCAGGGCTTCTCGTTGGCTGGTGCTTCGTTTGCTTTCTCGGACAGGCCCTTAGATGGAAGGCGCACTTGAGCCTGTTGGGACTGTCGCTCAGAGTTATTGTTTGCCTGAGTCCACCCGCCCCCTGAAACCTCCCCTGCGTTCCCTCTGCTTTAAGTTGGATCCAGTCTTTTTCTCTGGCGTTGTGGCCCTTGGGTTGACATGTGGTGATGGGTCAGTGGGCGTGCTCGCTGCCCAGACTCCTGGGAGGACCCCATCCCCACTGTACAGACACAGCACTTACTTTCACTACTTATGAATTGAATGTTACTCAAAAAATGCCCGTTCAAACCCTGCTTAGTATGTTCTCTTTTAAAGAAACCCATTAAGTTCCATTTTTCAATGGCTTTGACCATGAGAACACCCTTCTTCATTTTGAGCCATGATCTGCTTCCCTGTGACACCTGTTGGCCTGACGCCATCTCGGAAACCCCTGTAAGGACTGCTGGTCCCTCTTGAGTACTTGAGCGTCGTCACCATGTGGTGGGACGTGGTGTGGCCCTTAGCATCGGCCACCTGTTGTCATGAGTGGTGGTTAGAGGCCAGCCTGTGGTTCCCAGAAGTGGCTAAGGGCAGCACAGTGGGACGGGGACACCTCAGCTCCTGTTGTTGGTGTGACCCCATGCAGGAAGCATGCAGTAAACTGATCCATGAGCGTGTCCCCAGAGCAGCTGGCCACCTGGCCCTCAGCTGGGCTGAACAGTCTTCTGAAACCTAACAATTACGTTTATCCTTATTAAGTTGTCAGCTAAGCCACCTACATGCTAGGATTACCAGCCCCAGAAAAAAGGGTTTTATAAAAAGGCCTTTCTGCTTAAACAGTGCATTGTGAAAATGACATTTCTTCTCTCTTCAGATGCTTGGAGAGTGCCACTGAAAGTGTCGGCAGAGCTGTTGATGGTACGTCAAGTTAACACCTCACTTTGGCTGTTACTATGTGATAAAAGTGCAATTGGGATGTATTTGTTTCTGTAAGTTCAAAATTCTTTTAGGAGTTTGCTAACATGACAAATGAAGGCTGTACCTTCTCACTTCTCACCAGTCATAAGATGTTTAGTATTCCCTGGCTCTGGTTTTTTTCTCTTAATGGATGGTGTTGTCAGTCGTTCGTATTTGTACATGTGAGGAGCGTTACCTGCTTCAGGGGCTGTGATGTTAGAGGAGAGAGCAGAACCAAGGCAGGCGGAGGCCTGTCGTCACTGGGTTAGGAGGCCGCCACCGTGAGAATGGCGTGGGACACGGAGCTCGCTTGAGACGGCAGATGGGAGCCGGAGGCGGCCAGCTTCCTGGTGCTGGGAACAAGTTTTCCTCGCGTCCCAGGCAGGGTCATGTCAGGCTGGTTGAGGTCTCTGATAGGACGGCTGTGTGGAAGTTCGAATGCCCGTGGTTGTTAGTTACAGAACAGGTGTGGGCTGCCCTTTAGGTGGGGTGCCATCTAGTTCCCGCCTGTGAGGTCCGATGGGTGGAACAGTCAATTGTGTTTCAAACGGACTGTTTTTCCACATAAGTCTTGTAACAGCTTCTCACTGTAGAATTTCTCTACTGTGAGTTGTCACCGTTTAGCTGTGTGTCCCTGGGAATAGCGGGGTTTTTGCTGGTGCTTGGTACTAGTATAATTTAAAGGCTCAGGTTTTACATGACATGTTATGTGTATCGACCTGCATTTTCCATGATGGATTTCCAGGTCATGTGCCTGTCAGCTGCAGGAGGCTTAGGGTTTGTGCTCAGGGAAGCCACTAACTGAGGACAATGTTGTCAGGACCATTGGGTGACGCCTGTGCTCTTTGATTGTCGGTGACGGGACATAATCCCATTGGGACGCCTGCGGGCCGCCGGCCACTTTACACATGCGTGTTCTTTCCTCACTTAAACTGCTGGTTATGATTTTAGTGAAACCTGACCAGCTCAGACATACCAGTAAAAACCATTCTCCAGTTCATTTGGATGCAAGAAATGTTAGAGTTGCTTTTAAGATGAAGCTGGGATGTGGCCCTCTGGGTGCCCCTCCAAACCACGCGGCTTTTATTCTGAAATGGCGGTGGGGCTCCCGGTGTCTCTGTGGCTTCAGTCAGTAATTAGAGGCTGAAAGTCCTAGCGACCAGGAGGCAGCTCCTTTCCACCCGGTCGTTTGTTTCTGTCATTGCTTCTAGTGACTGGTCAGTCGGAGACTTAAGTCTGAAGGTTGGAGGCAGAAGTGCAGGGTTCTTTTCTTGTAAAGGTGATAGTAAGAAAAAGTCTAAACCTTCCTGCAAATTATTGTAAAGCTTGCGTCTCTGTGTCTGAAAGGGCTGATGGATTTCAGATAGTTTCAATAGGTAGGCGTGTATTTATTTTGTTTGCCTAGACACAGCAGCAGTGTTTAGAAAATGTGAGTTGTAGTGAAAATAAATAACATTGAGAGGTAGTTGCTTCAAATAGTGAAATATAAACAAAATGTCTTTTTGGGAAAAGCCCTACACTTAAGACGTGAAGGGGTGAATGGGTCACAGCAGCGGCTGCCTGTGGGGACACCCCGCGGGGACAAGGGCCGCCTTCCCCTTCTCGACCCCGCGCTGCTGGGCTGGGGACGCAGCTGGTTGCTGGCCCAATGCGTTTGGGACGCCCTGCAGCCTTCAGCAGCTCTGATGTCACATGGTACTCTTGTGAACTCTGAGAGGTGAAATTTCTGTTTCAGGACTAGTCTCTTTTGGGGGTTTGTCATTGTAATGAATATATTTTCCAAATTCCAAATTGGGAGGCAAGACAAAATTGTTGAAATGAAAACTGGAAGGTTCTCAGACATTCAGGGCTGCAGATGTTTGTAATGGGAAGTGACAGGGTTGGGTGAATAAAGAAGGCAGGCCGAGAGCCACCCCGAGGGCCCCCGAGAGTCGCCTGCTCCAGGCTCGTGGCATCCTGGTTCTTTCCAGGCGAATGCTGGTTTTGGTGTGGCCGAAGCGTGGGCTGCAGAGGACGAGAGCGCTTGGTTAGTTGGCCTGTAAACCTCTTGGAAGCCGCTGCACTGCCTGAGAGACTGATTAAAATAATATTTTCATCCCAGGCTGTAAGACCAACCCCCAAACTGAAGCAGAATGAAGCAGCGAATGTCCAGCCGTCTTCCAAAAGAGCCAGGTATGACTCATCTCCTCACCGAGCAAGTCCTTACCTTTCCAGGTCTGTTAGAACATGGGCAGTTGGGAAAGTTTCTAAAAATTGTCACAGTACATAGGATTTGAAAGGATCTGCTATTGCTTCATAGCTTGACCATGACGTTCCCATTTTATGGCTGGTGATACATGGGCTGGGGTTTTTTTCTTTCTTATTGAAAAAACCTGAACAGTTGACTCCTTTTCTTTAAGCAAAGCCTTGCCAGCCCCCAGTGTGGGGGGTCGGGCAGGACTGGAACCCAGCGCGTGGGCGGACTGCGCACCGAGAGCCGGCGGGTGGCAGGCACACGCTTGGCCAGTGCTGGGCAGTGGTGGGGCGCGAAGGCCCCCCAGGCACCTCATCAGTCAGGCACGGCCAGCGCAGGGCCGCCAGGAGCCCGCTCTCCGTCCGCGAGTCGGGAAGCTCTGTGTGCAGGCTGCTCGGGGCCGCCTCCCCGCCGGCCGGCCTGCGGGCACCGGCCCTTCGTCTCTCCCCTCCTGCCATCCCCACAGCCACTCAGTTTGTGAATCATTGAATTTTTCAGTACAACCTGAATTGTGTGATTATCTTTTAAGGCTGTCATCAAAATGCTACAAGTAAACCTGATTTTTTTTTTTTTTACCTAGACTGTCTCAATTACTAAATAGAAGCTAAAAATAGGATTTGAATAATTTAAGGAAATTAAAGGCTGAGCTTTAGTGTAAAAGGTGTGCCTGAGTGAGACGCCATCGTGGGCAGCAGCGGCGGGAGCCTGGGCAGAAGGCAGAGACAAAGGGGATGGCCTGGGGCTGCAGGGGTGTAGCCTCTCATGACCCCGGCTAGCAGAGGTGCAGCCGGTACACCAGCCACATGGAAAAGGCCAGCTTGGAGGTTCACTTTCTGTTTAAAGCAAATTTAAATAAACTTTTAAATGGGGGGGGGGCGCAGGTGTTCAACGTGGAAGAGGAGGCTGTGACTCAGCCCCAGGTTCGTCACCCCTTCCTGTGGGTGCCAGGACAGTCCTCAGGGGGACTTGGCATTGGGGTGCAAAAGAAAGACGGGTAACTCATCGCATTGTTCCTTAAGAAAAAAACCACGTTCACTTAAGGCTAGTAATGCTTGTTGAAGCTGTTAAACCCCTTGTCTTCTAAAGAACATTTTAAGTAAATAATAAAATTGTTGCCCTGTTTCATCTGTCTTTGTTTTACAGAATTGAAGATATACCACCTCCCACTAAGAAGTTGGCACCGGAACTGACCCCTTCTGTGCTTTTCACTGGCTTCGAGCCTGTCCAAGTTCAGCAGTATGTCAAGGTGGGGCTTCGTTCTGCTTTCGTGTAGGGTTGGAGCAGTGTCCCTTCTGCACATAGTCGCGCTACGCTCGCAGTTTATTGAGCTCACGTTTAACAGGAAGCCTGTCGTGCACGAGTGTGTTTATAAAGCATTATAAAGTAGTGTAAGCAGTCTCTGGATGGCTGCTGGCTCCTACTCAGGTACTTCTTCCTCTTGGTAGAAGGTAGGATTCAGGCGAGCAGACCCAGAGCCATTTGTGTAATCTTGTGACCATTTGCAGGGCCACTCGGATGTCATTTTTAGAAAGACGTCCAGTGCGAAAGGCTCACTGGGCTGCCCCAGGCCTCTGATGGAAGCCAGTCTACCAGGTTGGCCCAGGGGGAGTTGTGTTCGTGTATTTACATAACAAATAGGAACAAGCTTTTAAATACACTTTTTGAAATAGCAGCATGTGGGGTTGTGGGATTTTGCTTTATTTCTATTTTTTGTGGGGGGCTGGTTAAGAATGTAAGTTCAGCTGTGTCACGGGTTCATACAGTTCACTTGTAATTTTTCTAAGGAATAGATATAATTTTAAATGCTCTTATAAATTTAGTATAACTTTATTTTTTTCACCTTTAAAATGGAGTCTAGTTATTGAGATCATTTTTTATATGTTCATGTCTTCTTGGTCAGTTTTCATGCCATCATTTTACAAAATAGAGACAGTCCGTTAAATGTGCCTCATTAACACGTATTTCAGCTCAGAAAGTCTGGGTGTTGTACCTCACCACGACATGAGCTGCGTGGCTCGCTGGGCATCTTATCCACAGGGCTGTTATTGGCGCCCCAGGGAGCATTCGTATTTTAACCTTGGTGTGTGTGGCACTGATTACAGAAACGTGTAGTGTAAAGCCTGCTCTTCACTGTCCACAGTGCTGTGGGCTTGGTTTGGTTGGTCTCACCACTGCCGTTTTCCGTGGCCTAGAGCCCTGTCCCTAGCCCGGCCTTAGATACGTACCCTCTGCAGCACGGGTCACGTGGCTCTGCAGGCGCAGCTCTCACCTGTCATCTGTGCTCCTCACCTTCAGAAGCTCTACGTTCTTGGAGGAGAGATGGCCGAGTCGGCGCAGAAATGCACACACCTCATCGCCAGCAAGGTGACACGTACGGTGAAGTTCCTGACGGCCATCTCGGTGGTGAAGCACATTGTGACTCCGGAGTGGCTGGAGGAGTGTTTCAAATGTCAGAAGTTTATTGGTACGGAGCATCGGGGCTCGGCTCTCAGTGCCGCGTGAACCTGAAACTTTCTGTCTTGAGTTTATCTCCGTTTTTATGCCAACAAACATCTCACATTTTTTTCAGTGTCAGTTTCTCTATCATAAACACTAACTAATTCTTGGTAATCCCTAACCAGTTTTTCAGAACGCATGTCAGCCTTAATTTTTGCCCTGGAAATTTACATTTCCAATATATTTTTTCCTGTGTGACAGTTTTTTCTGTTTTTTAATTCACCATTTCCTGTTTCTCCAATTTTTAGACATTCTTATCTTCTTCCACCTAAATCAGCATAACAGCTTTATTTATCTGCTGATTGGCTAGTCAATTGACTTTGTATATCTATTAATAGCAGTTGAACTAAAGCATTTCTTTGTGATATGATCGCTTTTGCTCAGGGGTAAGCAGACTGGCCCCCGAGCTAAGGATGGTTTTTACATTTTAAGGCATCATTTCAAAAGGAGGAGGATGTGCACCAGAAACAAATTGTGGCCCCTAAGTCCTAAAACTGGTGTCATCTGGTCGGCCCCCGTTTACCAGCCTCTGCTCGAGACTCTTCTTATTCTGTGCTCTTGATGAATGTATTACCAGGTTCTAGCTCTATTGCTGTTTGGTGATTGTTATGGAATGAAGAAGAAAAGCTTTTCTGAATAGGAGACATACTCATAAGAAGGTTAAGACATTTTGTGATCTGTAACTTTTGAGAAATTTGATATTTCTTAAAGTGTTACTTTTACTTTGAAAACTCTGAAAACCAATCAATTAAATCTTCTCAGAAGTCTTCAAAATTTGGTAAAACTATACTTTATAGATTGCTATATACTTTCATATATTTAAAAGGAATATGTTTTTGGTAAATCTGTAAAATTGAACTAATTGATTATCATCTAATGGAGTCCAGTGCCCCTGTGGTCACTTCACATACACGCTGTCACCCCAGGACTAGAGTCCTTCACCTGGGACACGGGCTGGGAGAGTGAGCTCCCTGAGGAGCGTGGGATTGTGCTGTGGGGTACGGGCGGGCGACAGGCGACGAGAGGCCCAGAGCTTTCAGGACGGGTTTTTCACGAGTGTGTGACCTCAGAGGGTTAAGAAACAGTGACATAGGAGAAAGAATGCCTGCCTGTCTGTTTTTTGGGGAAAGTAAGTGAAATACAATAGGGCAGACTTACATATTCCCAGGTTTGGCAGGTCGCTGTGAGTCATGAGTAGAACGTGCCTGACTAGCCGGGTGAGTCCTGGGGTGCATGTCACGTGCCTGCCCCGCCAACGCGTGTCTGTTCTCTCTTCCAGATGAGCAGAACTACCTTCTCCGAGACGCAGAGGCCGAGGTGCTTTTCTCTTTCAGTTTGGAGGAGTCCTTGAAAAGGGCACACGTCTCTCCACTCTTTAAGGTATACCTCAAAGGGAAACGATACGTCTACAGAGACGTCACAGTTCGTCAGCTGAAGGTGACAGTAACTTGAGGAAAGCACGTGTCCGTTGCGTGGCCGGTCCTCCTGGTGTGTTTCCGGAGGCCGCCACCAGGGCAGGGTCTGGTCTTGACTGTAACCCGGGCGCCTGTTAGAGACGGGTGCTGTAACCTCCCGGGCTGTTCAGAGAGCACGCTTGGGACTAGTTTCAGTGGTCAGAGACCTTAAGTTGACTTTTCTGCTTTTAACAACTATCACATAATACTATTGTCATTTCCTGTCTCGTCAGCTGGAGAATGAGACGGCTCTGGGAAAAATCTTAATTGGATGTGTGCCTAAATAATTCAGGACTGAAGATTTTTAAGTATTTGTGAAATACTTAGAACAATTTGGAAACTTTTTGTGTCAAAGAGTGGCTGAGTACATTAGTAAAGATAATTTCTAGTTACTTCTACTATTCATAGGTCATGCCTCTCATATGAGAGTGCTGAAATTTCCACCTTTACACCTGGGTTCTCCCAGGCCCACTTCAGGTTGGGGGCTCATGGGGGCTGGTACTGGTGGCTTCATGACTTAAACATTTTGTCAACACTCTCAGGACAGAATTTATGAAGAACGATGTACTCGGAAGTCAGAGCATTTTAAAAACACAGTCCACATAATTTATTTTTAGGCAAAATATTTTTACATCACCCCTGGAATTTGCCCCAGTCTCTCGACTATGAAAGCGATTGTGGAGTGTGCAGGTGGAAAGGTATTATCTAAGCAGCCGTCCTTCCGGAAACTCATGGAGCATAAGCAGAATAAGGTGCGTGGCGGTGAGAGGGGCTGTGGGCTCATTGTTCTCGCTGAGTCGTTGCCTGGTAACCTGTAACTCATCTTGTTCTCCTTAGAGTCTGTCAGAAATAATTTTGATCTCCTGTGAGAATGACCTCCACTTATGCCGCGAGTACTTTGCCCGAGGAATAGGTACGGCGGGCTGGTGTCGCGTCTCTGCATGTGGGCACGGCAGTGCCCGCTGTCGCACTAAGTTTTGTTGTCGCCCTTTCAGATGTTCATAATGCAGAGTTTGTTCTCACCGGGGTGCTTACACAGACACTGGACTACGAGTCATATCCTTTCTGAAGGTGCTCGCTGCAGAACCCTGAGAACTTGGGGCAGCGCCGTCTCTACATTAGGAGCTTAGAGCCCGGGCTGGAGGGACAGGGGATGAAAGACGCGTCGCATCTTTGCAGATGCCCTGCCGTAGCGCCTGGCTCTCATACAGCACGTTCTCGTGCGTCTTTTCCAGGCTTCCTCTGCCAGTCATAGTTATGTTTGTGAAGGCCCGTTCCGTGCTGCCTTCACAGTTATCTAGGTGGTTTGTGGGTCATCTCGGGGACCTTTCTCATCCCTCTAGCCTGGAAGTAGCCGGCTGGAATGTGCCTCGGCCGATGGTGGAGTTTCCAGGGCTGGGGGTGTCCTGGAACATGCAGGCAGGGCTGTTTTCTGTGGCGGGTGCTTGGTGCATGTCAGCTGAAAGGAGGGTCGGCTGTGACTTGGTTTCAGTCCTGGCCACCATGAGTCACCTGGGTGGCTTTAACGAGCATGAGTGCTGGGCCCCGCTGGCAGTCTGTGTACTGAGGCTGGGGGGAGCCCTGTGCAGGGGTGCGTTCGCGCTCCCTGTGGTTGGGGCGTGCAGCAGGACCGGGCGAGATGGGTGAGAAAAACGCTGTGGCTTCTTTCTAACGGAGTTAGGGCTCTACCTTGGATGCTTGTTTCGCGTTGTCTTTGAAGGTTGTTTTCCTCAGCAAGCTACATATAAGTTTAACTGATGTGTCCATCTGTCCTGCGCCTGAAGTCCAGGAGTGCGGTCGGCCGTGGCTGTGACCGTCACCGTGGTGGCTGGCACTCCCTCCCCACACCCTTGTTTTCCAGCTGCTTTCTTAGGGGACAAGCATTTTAAAGCAGGAGAACAGATATAATTAAATATACTGCATCTTTTTAAGATGTGTGATTTTATTCTGAGGAACATAAATTATGTTTTGTATAATATGACTTGGAGAGCCCACATTAGGTTTTGATTCCTTTGCCAGGTTTTTAAATGTTTTCACACGCTGTTAATGGAACTTTAGCTACAAATTAAATGGTGTAAATAAAGACTTGCTATCTCTAAATTATGGATTTAAAGATTTGAAATGTTTTGTACTTTATTTTTATTTCTTATACTCTTTTCTTTTATATTGATATCCTGCCCCACATTTTAAATAAATGTACTTTTGAACTTTACTTAGAATTGGGTGATCCTTTGTTATTCTATATTTTTTGCATAATTTATGTGATTTGCATCAAACTGGATCACATTTTAAGTAATTTCAAGGCAAAATATTTTCTAGCAAATTTTCACCTAAAGAAATAATTTCTGGAAGGCAGCCATTCTTTATCAATGTAACAAGTCAACTGCCAGGCAGAGGCATATTCAAAATATTTAGCAATCATGACAACCCAGGCCCCAACCAGCCAGAAACATTAATGCCACAACCACCCAGACCCACCCTGCCCCCGTTCCTAGTCTGGTTCTCACACACTTCCTGTTGGGTCGCAGGTACCCCCATCTCCTCAGGTCAGCAGCTGCTGCTGTGTTCATGGCTACTGTGCTGCCTCTGCTGCCACCTTTAGTTTGTCAGTATATGTGAGACCGACCCTATCGGCTGCTCAGAGTGGCTCTCACGTCACCATGCTCATCAGGTATGCCCCTGAAACTGAATCTGCTTCCATAACGTAATTTCTAAATGTCTTTGAAATATTTGTGATCTTCTCGAGAGTTTGTTTAATCGCATGATCGGTACGTATTAGAAAATGTTAGCTGAGAGCGAATCCCACACGTGGGATCTGGTGTTGGGCACACAGCCAAGACCCCATCACTTCAGGTGTCTGCACAGCTCCGGGGGATCATTTCTGCAGGGAAAGGAGCCCACCAGGCAGTTTCCTGTTCTGGAAGTCAGGACCAGCATCCCCACCGAACTCTTGGCCTCCTGTGGTGACATCACTGGAAACAGTTCCCCGCTAAGCCCTTAAAAACACGCTCTCACAGCAGCCGTTCTCAGATATGCTAGCTACATGCCAGCACTTGTATTTTTAACAAACTGTACCTCAAAATGTGTCTTAGTCTGCAGAACCCAGGACGTGTGCAAGAGCTGCGTAAGTTGGAACAAAAGTTTGATTGCCAAGTACCCAGAATACTGCCCTAGGCTTACAGCCCGAGGAGCAGTGAGGACGGGGTAAGGGGCCTCTGGGCGGCGGGTGGCCATGTCCTCGGCCTCCAGCCACCCGCGGGTTTAACGAGCCTTTCTTTTTTTAAAGATTTTTTATTGGGGAATTGGGAGAAGGGGAACAGACAAGTTGCTGTTGTTTTATTCTTCAGTCTAGTTGTAGAGGATGTTGCTTCACTGGCCCAAGTTGGCACCATCATTGCATTCTTCCCGGGCGAGGCACATCAGTCGCCGGCCTCTGGACGGCTGCTCACGCTGGCTGCTGGCCGCTCACGCTGGCTGCTGGC